CGCCCTCCAGACGTGGCAGCCACAAGAATCAGCAGCGGCCTAGCCCCATTGTCACCATTATCAACATCCTGAACAGTATTACAGATGACCCGGTGACCTAGCATAAGGGACAAAGGCTTCTCTGAAAAAGACCTCAGGCAGGATTAGGGTGGGAGCCTGGTGGCCGGTTGGCATTTGGACTTGCCAACTCTGTCTATTCCAATTTGGGGAGACTGTTTTCCTAGGGTCCCACAGTGCCTAACTAATTACACAGCTCCCTAGGAGAAAAATGCCCTGGCCCAAGAGCTGGGACAAACTTGAAGGCACCCAGATGGCCTTGCCTTGCAGTGGTGGAAGGCCTGCTTGAGTGACCCTTAGAAATGAATCCTTCCACCACTGAAGGGAAGCAAGGAGGCTCTACGTTGCTGAATCTGTCGCTGCCATGATTCAGCCCCAGCCTCTCTGCGGGGGTTGCCCACTTTTCCCCTTCCCCCTCTATAGGTCCAGGGGCTGTGGTAGTTGACTGACCATCCCACCGCTTCCTCCTCCATTCTGTCCACCCAGGTCCTCTCCCTCCTTCCTCTCTTGTCCCCAAAAATGGACCCAACTCCTTGGAGGTAGCCCAGAAGTTCTCTGATGCTAATAACTGCAGGGAGGCAAGACCAAGAAAAGTTACCAGGAAAAAAAAAAAAAGAAATAAGAAGAGTCATCTTTACTGGCTCCATCCTCTTGTTTTTCTTGGAGAATATTGTCTTCACGTGAAGTTTTGCTATTTTGTTCATTGTGAATCTTTTGCACGCTTATTTTTTTTTTAATATTGCATTCAAACATTGTCTTGATTACCAAGGTTTTTGGCTCTCTTTTTTTGATTTTGATTTTGACCTATTTATTTTGTAGAGATGGGATCTGGCTCTGCTGCCCAGGCTGGAGTGCAGTGGCTCCATCATAGCTCACTGCAACCTCAGATTCCTGGGCTCAAGTGAATCTCCCGCCTCAGTCTCCCTAGTAGCTGGGATTTCAAGGTTGCACCACCATGCTCCGATCTCATCCTCCCTTTTTACTGACTCCTTCATTCAACCAGCCAATGCAGATTGCATACCTACTATGCGCTAGGTCCCAAGCCAGGCACTTTGGAAACAAAGACTAAGTCATTTCTCCATTAGGTTTTTGTTGGCCACCTGCTGTGGTCCCTGTGCCCAGCTCTTGGAGTATAGTAGTGAAAGAGACATCGTTCTTGACCTCTGGCATGGGAGGCTCTGACAGGAAATATATTCACAAAGAACTAAGAACGAACTTGCAACAGAGAAAAGTTCTATGAAGAAAACAACACAGAGTGAAAGGACCAAGCCCACTAAGTGCCCACAGCCTGGGGAGGCAGACATATAAAGGGGTTGTTGTTCGACCAGGTGTGTGTGCATCGATGGCGCATGCAGAGGACATGTTGATGGGTCAGTCGAGGGGGGCCTCTCAGGGGAGGAGAAAGTTGGGGCTGGATCTCCAGTGATGACACATTGGCCACGTGCAGGGGGAGGAAAGGACACACCAGATCCAAGACACGGACATGAGGAGAGGCCTGGAGGTGAGGAATGAGGTGGGGAACAGACAGGTGATATGGACAGATGAGACTGAAGGACCCACGCTGGGCCTGGAGCCATGGAGGCTACAGTGGGAGTGGTGGTTGATTGAACGTGGAGTAACAGAAGACCCAAGGATGGTTCTAGGCTTCTGGACTATTCCATTGCTGAGTCAGCCCCAGTGTAAAGTCAAGGCTCTGGTGAGATAAGAGCAGATGTGTAAACTCTGCAGGTAACATGTATGGTTTGGAACAGGTTGGGTTTTGTTTGCTTTTGTTTTGTTTGGAGTTGGAGTCTCACTCTGTCACCCAGGCTAGAGTGCAGTGGCATGCTCACAGTCACCCCAGTGTCAGCCTGCTGGGCTCAAGTGATCCTTCCACCTCAGCCTTCCAAGTAGCTGGAACTACAGGTGCGCACTACCATGCCCAGCTAATTTTTTATTTTATTGTAGAGACCAGGTCTTGCCAAGTTGCCTGGACTGGTCTCGAACCCACAGGTTCAGGCAAGCCACTCATCTCGACCTCCCAAAGTGCTGGGATTACAGGCTGAGCTACTGAGTTTTAAGGGCCACTGGGACACCTGGGTAGAAAGGCCCAGGAGACAGTCAGAGAGAAGGAAGAGAGTGATGGCCCATTGGTCAAAAAATCCTAAATTTTGAATGTGAAGGACTCGGATCCCACTACAGGGATTGATGGGAGTGAAGTGGGTTTTTCTCAGCACAAAGAAATCTCCTAGGAAATATCAGATCTGTCCCCTAAATCCAAACCTCCTTAGTCTGGCTAGGGGGAAACCAGCCAGGTTGCTTAAAGTTACAAAACACTAGAATACAGCTGATTGCACAAATGACAGTCGATCTAGCATAATGCTTTTGGGTTTTAATTTTTAATTCTAGACATGATTCCTAGCCCGTGTTGAAGAAAGAACTTCCGAAACAAAATTTCTCCCTAAGGTTGCTCAGCTCTCCTGCTTATCCAAAGACTAAGAGAGTCTGTGAAGTAGGGACAGTTTTCCAACCCAAAAGTGTTACTATGAGGACTAAATGAGCCTGTTTATGTACACAGGTTTGTAAGTTCAAAATAAACACAAAGTGTCTAACAGACTGTTGTGGTGAAAAGCAGTATGTTGCCAGGCACAGTGGCTTAAGCCTATCATCCCAGCGCTTTGGCAGGCCGAGGCGAGAAGATTGCCTGAGCTCAGGGGTTCGAGACCACCCTCGGCAACTTGGCAAGACCTCATCTCTACCATAAATACATAAATAAATAAAAAGCTGGGTGTGGTAGTGCGCACCTGTAGTTCTGGCTACTTAAAGACTGAGGCAGAAGGATCGCCTGAACCCAGCAGGTTCAGGCTGTGGTGGCCGTGAGCGAGCCACTGGACTCCAGCCTGGGCGGCAGAGTGAGAATCCGATTCAAAAAAAAAAAAAGAAAGAAAAGCAATGTGTCACCCTCTAGACAAATGGAAACAGACCAAAAAACCAAGGGTCTTATCATGAGGACACCTTGCAAAGATAAGTCAGGAGCAGGCCATGAAAATCTCTAAGTCCCTCTGCAGCTGTGCCTTCCTGGAATCCCAAAGCTCAGGGCGGAGGTACAGCCGCCCAGGAATTTATTCCTCCATAACTTTGAGCTCCCCAAATCCCCATGAAGCCCAGGAATGATGTGGCAGCAGGGCACATGGGCCCATTGGCACCAAGAGTCCCTCCATAAATCAAGGTCTCACTTCTGCTGGCCTCTGATTGCTTTTTCCAAGGTGACCTGGACAGAGTAAAAGCGTAGTCGCTTACCCAGTGGTGGCATCTGCCTTTGAGATGAAATAACCCTGAAATGCCAAGAAGACCAATTCTCCAGAAATATGTTCCTTGGAGGGAGAGGACACCCATTCTTCAGCTCAGAAAACAATTCAATCAGGAGGAGTTAGGAGGAGAGTGACAGTCTTCCCATGAACTCAGCCAGCTTGAGTGGCCTAAGAGGCCCCTTGGGGCAGACTGGAGGAGCCCTATTCCAGTGCGAGGTCAGCGCCAGTGAAAAGTCAAGGTGACTTCAGCCATGGCACCAGTTACCCACAAGGCAGCCATGTGAGTCACAGAATCTTAAGTCAGTGGCCAACACCCTAATGGTTCAGGGTACGTAACCATTAACCAGAGATTGGGAGGCACTTGTCCACAGTCACAGCCTTGAGAGGAAAAGTCTGCGTTAGACCCTGGGGTTCAGGACTCGCTCCTTTCATAAGGCTACACTAAGTTTCAGCCAAGAAACAGTCCACCCCACCAATTCGTCTGGCCATCTTAATTTCTCCAGTAACATCTAAATAAATTGTGAGTATGGGAATTAAAGACTAGAAAAAGGTGCCCTTCACATGTCAAAAAACAAGCCGCCAGAAAGGGAAAGACACCACTCCTGGAAAACGCTGCATAGTTAATGACCGACAAAAACGCCTAGGGTGACCAAAGAGTTGGAGAGACTTGGCGGATCCAAGCCTTGCCTGCCCAAGGAAATCAAGGACCCAGAGTGAGGCCAGCTCTGAGCAGACCCATGGAGTGGGCTGGATAAAGCAGCTGAGATGGTTAAAATGGAAACAAAAAAACAAAACAAAACACCTCCCTCACAGGACTGTTGTTGCCGGGATTAAGTGGGCTGATGGATCCTAATGTCTGGCGCATGGTAGAAATGGCTTCTGATATTACATGGCTAACAGAGCCACCAAGGACTGGGTGCCCTTCCTGTGCACACCCTGCTTTCTGGAACAAAGCCCGCTGTGTTTAGTGGTCTGCTCACTTGCCCGCCTCCACCGTTAGAGAGTACATTCAGGCGCTGTAGCCTCCCAGCACTTGGAGCCGGCCACACAGTAGGTACAGCAACCACATTTAGAAATGGATGGATGACTTCTGCAGTCATCTTTGAAATCACCTCAGCTCATTCACCAACCTTCTTGATTTGCCTAGGGCTCTCGATACGAAAACCGGGATCATTTCGGTCTATGTGTTACAGAAATGTTCAGCTGAGCGAGGTGGTGTGCGCCTGTAAACCCAGCTACTCGGGAGGCGGAGGCAGGGGGATCAGGAAGAGTGCTTGAGCCCAGAAGTTGGAGACAAGTCTGGACATCACGGTGAGACCCCTGTCTCTTAAGCGTGCGTACAGACACACACACACACACACACACACACACACACACACACACACACACACACGCCTAGACCCAGTAAACGTTAGAGATAAGTGACAAAACCAACAAATTTTCATGAAGGTGTTAGAATCGAGGCTGGACATGGATTGGATGGCTCCGCCCATTTTCGTCTTAGCCCCACCCCCTTCAGGCCGCCCTGCCTGTCAGACTCCTCCCCCTTCTGGGAAGGTCACCTTAGGAACGCGGGAGGCCAAATGAGCATGCGCCCCATTGACCACTGCTGCGCACGCTCGCTGTGACGTGCTCCGCCTTCCCTCCTCCTCCCCCTCCCCCCAACCCCGGGAACCCGGAAACCAGCTCCCACTCGGTGGCTCCTGCGCGGCTAGCGGGTCCTCAGTGGATCCAGGCTCGGCGCCGCGATGTTCGACGGGACGTCGACGGAGAGCGACCTCGGGGTTAAGGGGTGGGGCTGGCGCCGGGAGCCAAGATGGCGGCGGTGGTCGGACTCTCCTTGAGGCGCCGGTTGCCGGCCACGGCACTTGGCGGAGCCTGCCTACAGGTGAGTCCCGAAGCCGAGAGGAGAGAGGAGAAAGGAAGGGCTCGGAGACCGCCTGGAGCTGGGCGGGCCGCGGAGAGGCTGAGGGCGCACAGGGCGAGGCCTCGGGACAGGGAGGTCCTCCTGTCACCCGCGCAGTGCTTGGGCTTGGCTGGGAGCATCCCTGTGGGTGACCGTCCTGCGCCCGCAGCAGCCTGTGCGTTAGTCACGGCGGCGGCAAATGTTTACAAATATATATATTTTTAATTTGGAGTCTCGCTCTGTCGCCCAGGCTGGAGTGCCGTGGCACGGTTCCAAGTAGCTGGAATTACAGGCGCCCGGCTAATTTTTTGATTTATCGTAGAGACTAGGTCTCGCCAAGTCACCCAGGCTGGCCTCGAACCCTTGGGCTCAGGCACCCCTCTCACCTCGGCCTCCCAGAGTGCTGGGGTTATAGGCGTGAGCCACCGTGCTCGGCCTACAAATAATTTTTTAAAAGTTCAGAGTGGGTTCTGGATTTGTTCAAGGTCACATGGCAAGCGAATGACTGTCAGAACCAGATTTCGAATCCAAACACTGAACCTCCAAGCCCTCTTTCTGCCACTAGACTGTCACCTCTGTGAAAAAGGGAGACCTGAGGGGTGTAAGGGATGGGAACGGGGAAGCAAGGCCGCTCCACCAGGGTGCAAGGTTGAGGACTCAGTAAATAGGGACTGAACTGGGATTGGCAAGGAAAGGATGTGTGAATTGTTAAGGACAGGGCAGGGGAAGGGCGAGATGGACGGAAATGCACCCTGACCCCTGAAGGATCCAGACTAGGGGGAGTTGTAGGAGAGACTGACTTCCTTAAAGCAGTGTCCCCTTAGTTTCACTAGTATCCTCTGTGTTCCTGACGGCAAACATCCTAGATACAGAGCCTGGCACTGTTCTTATTTTTACTAGTCAGTGTACCGTGGTACAATTTCCTACACGTCTTGTATCATCAAGAAGCTATGCTTCTGACCTGGGAACATTTAGAAGGGCAAAGGAAATTGCCATTGCATACATGAGGGACTAAGAATCCATAAATCCCTTTCAAGTCTGCTTCTTCATCCGGGCTTCTCAGCAACCCCTTTAGTGTAGGCAAGCAGGAATTCTTAGCTCCTTTTTAGACATTTGAAAACAAGCCCCAGAAAGAAAATGCTTTACTTGCTCGAAATATCACAGCCAAGAATTGGTGGATCTGGGATCGTTTTTTGACAGTACCAGAAAAACTCCAACACAGATCTTGGCACTGGTCACTGTACAAGAAGTTTTTGTTCCTCTCCCTGTCTTGCACTTACGTGAGGATGTCTTTCATCTTTAGTGCCTGCTGTGGCTGCATAACACCATACCTATTGCCGTGCTCTATTCCTAGTTCTCTCCAACATACTGTAAACGAACAAGTCATTCATCTTCTACATTAGTCTTTCTGAAAAGGGGAGACAGAGGAAGAGGAGACCAGCCTCCCAGAGCTTCACGCTGATGTTCTCTGAGCATTAAACTGATCCTTGATCATGACCTTGTTTACCAGTTTCTTTTACAGTTGCTGAGCAAACAGTAAGTTGTGAAAACTGCACCAATTAGAGTTCCAAAGCTCCGACCCAAGAATGAGTTGTAGAAAAGACCAGTTTCATAGGTCAGTGTTATAATTCCAGGCAAGGCCTTTCTAGGGCCTCCTGAGGGCAACAAAATAGAAGACCCCCCCCCTCCCCTTTGCAACTGTGCATTTATACCCACAAAAGCTGCCTTAGAAGAATCAGTGATGAGCTTATGCTAATTGTGGGCGATTTAGGTTCAGTTCTGAATGCTTTTTATGCATATAGGCTGCACCACTGAGCCACAGTTTTGCCGTTAAGTATTTCACTGTCATGTATTAGCTGTTGTTCATGTAGTCTTATTTCTTCTTCTAGACTATGAATTCCTTTAGGGCAAGAACCACCTGCCTAACAGTTCTGCTCCTAGCCCCAGCAGGGTTTAGAATACCTATCTGCAAGTCAGAATAATACAAAAACTGATAACATTGCCACTATTGAAGAGCAGGGAATATTTTCTGTGTTATGCTAGGAGCTTGATCCTCCAGTGATCTTGAGGTAGATATTAACTACCCTTCACTTTACCAGGGAAGATATAGGTTAAGGCATTCGCTAAAGAACACACAGCTAGTAAGTGGTAGAGCTTGGATTTGAACCAGTACCACTCACACATTTCTGAAACAGGCCTGCGCCTTCTGTCTTATCCAGGCTTGTCTTCATATAGACCTTTTTGCCTTCCTGCTCTCCAATTCCCCACCCTCCTCTCCTGCCTCCAAATGTCTGTCTGTTCTATCTAGTTCCAAGTCTGCTTCCTAAGGAAGCTTTTCTAGAGGGACCACCAGCCTTCGGCACCACCCAGAATTCTCACTTCGCCTCAGTACCTTTCAATCCATTGTTGCTTACCTTACTTAAGTTATAAACTATGAAGTCAATCTTATCCAAGATTTCCCAGGAACTTGCTCTCTGCGTTAAATGCTCTTTAGGTTTGTAGTTACGATAGAATGCTTTCGAAGGGCCTTCTTCCATTGTGAATTTGTGGTTATAAATTACTGGACAGAGCTGGGCTCGGTGGCTCAGCCTGTAATCCCACGATTTGGGAGGCTGAGGTGAGTGGATTGCCTGAGCCCGCCTGGGCAACTTGGTGAGACTTCATCACTACAACAAATCAAAAAATTAGCCGGGCATGGTAGTGCGCACCTGTAGTTCCAGCTACTTGGAAGGCTGAGGTGGACGGATTGCCGGAGCCCAGCAGGTCGAGGCTGCAGTAGCCGGGAGCAGCCACTGCACTCCAGTCTGGGCGACAGCGTGAGACTCCAACTCAAAAAAATAAATAAATAAATTACTGAACGGATAACAAAGGGAGGAAATTATATTGCCTGCTTGTGTGATTAGAGTAACAACTTTGGTTGTTCCTTGAATTGCTTTGGGAAAAGGAATTATTTTTCGGCGCTGTTCTCCTTTGTGCTAGCATTTTTACTTCTGCGATAGTGGCTAGAAGGTTGGGCTTTGGAATCAAATGGCCTGTGTTTGCATCCTGGCTCTGTTGTTCCATGACCCTGTCCCTATCTTTTAACTGGGAACAATAAAATGTTACTCACAGAATTGTTATAGACATTAGAGATAATTTGGCAACAGTGTCTGGCACATGGTAAGAGCTCAGTGAATAAAATCTACATAACACATTTTTAGATTTCTCCATTCAGGGAATTTTTGATAGGTCACAGGTAGCAGAGTCCTGTGTACGAACCTTTGTACAAACCTCAGGGTGAGCAAAGCTCTTGCTTTTAGGACAAGGACCACTGGTTGTTTTTATTTTGGTCTCTTCTCTCATTCTCGTAAGCTCACCCCTTACCCAACCAAGTATTGTATGAGAAGGAGGTGTTGACGAGAATATCCCATTGCAGGTCACCATAGTCATCTCTGACAGGCTTATAGGAGTGAAACCCAGCTAGGTAGAGCCTGATGCCTGTTGCACAGACAGTGCCACTAAGTCAAGTTTGGAACTAGCCAAGATTTCCAGAACGTGGTTGAGATCTCCATGTAAAGATCCAGCTGAGATTTTTAGAACATGGCAAGCATTTCCAGAGACCCAGTTTCTGTTTAAAGTCCAACTTAAGGCTGGGTGTAGTGGTTCACACCTGTAATCCCTGCACTTTGGGAGGCCAAGGTGAGAGGATTGCTTGAACCTAGCAGTTTGAGACCAGCCTGGGCAGCATAGACCTCATCTGTATGTAAAAATCAAAAAATTTGCCAGGTATAGTGGCATGCACCTGTAGTCGCAGCCGCTTGGGAGACTGAGGCAGAAGGATTGCCTGAATCCAGGAGGTTGAGGCTGCAGTGAGCCATGATCATGCCACCGCACTGCAACCTGGGTGACAGAGTGAAACCCTCAACTCAAAAAAATAAATAAATTACATAAAATAAGAAAATAAAGTCCAGTGTAGTAAAAAGCTTGCAAGAGTCATTTTTTTAAAAGCATATTATCCCACTTCCCCTACTGCCTGCTTCAGACACAACAACCACCCACTCTGGAAAACAGTTTGTCAGTTTCTTAAAAAACTAAACGTGTGGCTGTCATACAACCCAGCATATAACATTCCTGGGCATTTATCCAGAGAAATGAAGACTTAGGGTCACACAGAAGATATCTTCAGGCATCCTTTCTCTTGTCATTCTCTCTTAAATACCGCAAGGTGGCAGTAGTTAGATGATCACAAAATGGGATTCCTAGTGTTTGTAGACATGGCTTTCCTTTAGTTAATGACCTTGGCCAGCCTGGTCATAAGGTAAAACACAGCTTTCATTTCACTTTCATTTTCTTTATACATTTTCTTTTTTCTTACTCATAGCTGATGTTGCTATTTTCAGCATCAGTTAATTTGGGACACTTTTTACCGGCTAATAATAAATACCATTGTATTATAATTAGACAATCAGCCTTTGGCGTTTTTACTTTCTATAGCAGTTTATAAAATAAGTGATAGGCCTGGAATACTGTATTCTAGCCTGAATTTTCCCACATACGAGTTGAGAGTTCCATTTATAATGGCTGTTGAACCGGACAGATCCTCCCTCCCATGTACTCAGCAAGGCTTCATGTGGTCTCTCCTGCATTTCGTCTGCTTAAATGGGAAAAACAGTGAAGGACTCAGGAATAGAGAACATAGACCATTGGCTGCTTCCTTAACATTATGAGTCAGTGCCATATGTAAAGGGTTGTTTGGGTTTTGTTTGTTTATAGTTTGATATAGGTTGCACTATGCAGCCTTTGAGGCACATTTAAATAAATGACATTTTTTTCCTTAGTCTAATGCTCAGCTTTTGCTCTTTCCTTCAATCTTTCCTACCCATGGATTGAACTGCTGTGTGCAGAGGCCTGGACAAGGTATGCTGGGAGATGCAAAATATAACTCACTTTGTGCCCTCAAGGAGTTTAGGACATAGAGGAGACAACACCAAAAAGACCTGAGAATGTTCACAAATGATAGGCCAGTACGGTGTTTAGAAACGTGGGTTCTAATCCTGGCTCCTCCACGCAGTGGCTCTGTCATCATGGGTCCATCAGTTGATCTCTGAGCCTTATTTTTTTTCTCATGTTTAAAATTAGAATTAAGTGGATTAATTAATACAAAGTAATTAATACACTTCTGGCAATAATCAATGATGGCTTTAAAAATGGATATGGGCCGGGCTTGGTGGCTCTCAGCCTCTAATCCCAGCACTTTGGGAAGCCAAGGTGAGTGGATTGCCAGAGCCCGTGAAAGACGGTGGCGCGCAGTGAGACTCAACACCCTTTAAGGCCAAGAGATTTAATGGGGATGAGCGCGGTGACTACAGAACCTGAGAATCAGATTGCAGCACGGAGGCAGGGGTGTGGCAGGTTTTATAAAAATTTAAAGCGACCTGTCGATTACCTATTGGTCGGCAGGTGAGATATTTTGGGGATTGGCAGGGGCTTTCGCAGGCACGGGAACGGTGGGCTTTGTTGTGGAAGAAGAACCCGGAAGGCCTTGTCCGAGCCTCCATGTTAGTTTGTCCGGGCGCCTTCTTAGGCGGGAGCGCCATTTTAGGTGGGGGCCACGCCTAGGCTTAGCCTTTGGAGGGGGCGGGTTCCTCGTGGCTGGCTGGGGCCTTTCAGCCGTGGGTTTAAGACCCACCCAGGCAGCTTAGTGAGACCTTGTCTCTACAATAAATCAAAAATTAGCTGGGCATGATCGCACATGTCTGTAGTTCCAGCTACTTGGAAGACTGAGGCGGAAGGATCGCCGGAGCCCAGCAGGTTGAGACTACGGTGGCCGGGAGCGTGCCACTGCACTTCAGTATGGGTGACAGAGTGAGACTCCAACTCAAAAAAAAAATGGATATGAATTTATGACCACCCACAGTGGTTCACACCTGTAACCCCAGCACTTTATGAAGCTAGGGCTAGAGAATCACTTGAGCCCAGGAGTTCAAGACCAGCCTGGGCAACATAGCAAGACCACAACTCTACAAAAAAATGTTTAACAATTAGCCAGGCAAGGAATCCCAGCTACTCAGGAGATCAAGGTGGGAAGATCCCCTGAACCCAGGAGGTCAAGGCTGTGGTGAACTGTGACTGTGCCACTGCACTCCAGCCTGGGCAACAGAGCAAAAGCCCAAGTCAAAAAAAGAAAAGATAGCCGGGCTCGGTGGCTCAGCCTGTAATCCCAGCGCTTTGGGGACTGAGGTGAGTGGATTGCCTGAGCCTGCAGGTTTGAGACCTGCCTGGGCAACAAGGTGAGACCTCATCTCTACAATAAATCAAAAAGTAGCCAGGCGTGGTAGTGCATGCCTGTAGTTCCAACTACTTGGAAGGCTGAGGCGGGAGGATCGCCGGAGCCCAGCAGGTCAAGGCTGCGGTGACCGGGAATGGCCGCTGCACTCCAGTCTGGATGACAGAGTGAGACTCCAACTCAAAAAAAAAAAGAAGATTTAAATGTAAATATAAAACTTTGAGGTGGGACAACAATGTTTTTGGCAAATGTGTTCTGGTGGGAAAGCTGCTCTTGTTGAAGGAGGGAGGGGAACCTGAAACCCACCCTCTAAACCTGACCCCTTAACAGCAACCCAGAGAGTGGCTCCAGATTCCTTGGCCCACTGTGTGAAGCCCACTGGCAAAGACTGTGAATTCTGGGAGATGTGATGACTCGTCAGAAAGAGCACAACTGGCTGTTAGTTCCCTAAATTAATTTTGTATCCAGTTACAGTTTTCCTTCTCATTTTCTGCCCTAGTTTTAAAACACCAGCATCTTATTTCGATAACTGTGATAGCCTTCTAATTGGTTTCCCTGGATCTATTCTGACAATTCTTCCTTTATAGCCACTAATGTCCTTTTCCAAAAAAAAAATTGATGATGTCACCCCCTTGATTAAGAAGTTTTATTAGCAGCTTTTTATTGCTCTTAGAACAAAATTGAAACCCAGTTTATAAGTCTTTCTTGGCTTCCTCACATCTGCCACTCCCTCATCCTTTCCCAAGCCACCTGCCTCCTACTGGGCTCTGCTCAGATCCTGAAGATGCACTGTGCTTCCCACCCCAGACCTTGACACATGCTGTTCCCTCAGCCTGTAACCCTCCATGCTTCTTCCCCTTCACTTCTGTTCATCAAGCTCCACTTAAGTATCACTTGTGGTGGCCCTCTGTGACATCTCACACCCTGCTGCTCCCCCCATACAACCATAGAGCTCTGTTTCCTGTCCGCTCACTCTTTACACTTTATTGTGAATATTAATTCAACTCTTGTTCACTACAAAGCAAATTCTGTGAAGACAAAGGTTTTGTCCATTTTATTAAGTGCTGTGTCCCTAGCCCTTAGTACCATGTCTGGCATCCGAAAGGTGCTTAATACTTGTTGGATATTGGATGATGGTGCCTTCCCCAAGAAGACTGTGTATCAGTAATGTGTGGGTTTATATCCAGTATTATATTTGTTGTGCCAGCTCAATGGAATTATCTTACATTTTGCTTTTTTTTCTTTAACCTTTCTGTGAACTTCTTAAAATTTCAGGCCTGCCGAGGGAACCAGACAGCTGCAGCCACAGCTCCCCGAATCAAGAAGTTTGCCATCTACCGATGGGACCCAGACAAGGCAGGAGATAAACCTCGTATGCAGACTTATGAAGTTGATTTGAATAAGTGAGTATCTCTGTGAAAGCCAGGTATTTGATAAAGGAAGGCGAGTTCTGGATTTGATTCAGGAACATGCTTTTCACATCCTTGGAAGGCTTAGATATCTGAGGTCATCCAGTGGCTCTGGACTCTTGTCATCAGTTTTTAAAATGAGGTAGGTAGCTGATTCAGAAAAGTAATACCAAGAATAACAACCTTTGTAATTTTTTTTTTTTTTTTACTTCAAATGAAAGTATGGTAGATTTCTAAAAATACTGGTAGAATTGACTGTATATAGTATTTGAAGTCATGTAGCATATAACCAACTTTTAAATACTGAATGTTTTAATTATATATAATACATCTGAGCCTATGTACTCTGTAATAATAATAAACACCAGAAACTTGACAGGAATGGTGCTAGATCAAAGTGAGGAAATGGTTAAAATATTTCAAATGAGGCCGGGCATGGTGTCTCAAGCTGTAATCCTAGTACTTTGGAAGGTTGAGGTGAAAGAATTGCCTGAGCTCAAGGGTTCAAGACCAGCCTGGGCCATTTGGTGACACCTTGTCTCTACAGTAAATCAAAAAATAAGCCGGGCATGGTAGCACACGCCTATAGTTCCAGCTACTTGTAGGACTGAGGTAGAAGGATTGCCTGAGCCCAGCAGGTCGTGGCTGCGGTGGCTGTGACCGTGCCACTGCACTCCGGCCTGGGCAACAGAGTGAGACTCTGATTCAAAAAAATTTAAGAATTAAAAATATTTTAAATGGTCTGGACCTGTATGTTAGCTTTCTATTTCTGTCGGAGCAAATTAACACAAATTTAGTAGCTTAAAAAACAAATATCTCAGCCTATAATCCCGTGCCTTGGGAGGCTGAGGTGAGTGGATTGCCTGAGCCTGTGGGTTCGAGACACGCCTGGGCAACTTGGTGAGACCTCATCTCTACAATAAATCAAAAAAATTAGCCGGGTGCGGTAGCGCACTCCTGTAGTTCCAGCTACTTGGAAGGCTGAGGCAGAAGGATTGCCAAAGCCCAGCAGGTCGAGGCTGTGGTGGCCAGGACCAGCCACTGCACTCCAGTCTGGGCAACAGAGTGAGACTCCAACTCACAAAAAAATAAATAAATAAATAATATCTTATAGTTCTGTAGGTCAGAAGACTGGTACGGTCTCATCAGACTAAAATCAAGGTGTCAGCAGGCATTCCTTTCTGGAAACTGGGGGAAACTTTTGCTCGTTTGGGCTATTGGTGGAATTCAGTTCCTTGTGGTTATAAGCCTGAGGCCCTTTTTGTCTTACCTGTAACCTAATGGCCGCTCTGAGCTTCTAGAGGCTGCCTCATGGCCCCCTTCTTCCATCTGCAAAGCCAGCAACAGCAGGCTGAGTCCTTCCTTACACAGCATCTCACAGAACCACTGTTGTTCATCCTCTTTCTTTTTTTTTTTTTTCTGAGTTAGAGTCTCACTCTGTCACCCAGACTGGAGTACAGTGGCCGCTTCCGGCCACCGCAGCCGCGACCTGCTGGGCTCCGGCGATCCTTCCGCCTCAGCCTTCCAAGTAGCCAGAATTACAGGCA